CGCCCCTCTGGGTCTGCGGCCACATCCACGAGGCCGCGGGCGCGGCCGAGGTCGCACTCGCCGGCGAAAAGCCGACTCTTATAGTCAACGCGGCGGCGGCGAACGCGGGCCGCGCGAAGCGCCTCGAGCGCGGCTTCGTCGCGCTGAACGTGGCGGCGCCGGGCGGCGAGCGGCCGGTGGTCGTCGAGGCTGAAACCCCGGAGGAGCTCCGCGCCCCTCCGGCGCCGGCGATCGCCGCCGACGAGGCCGCGCCGCCGCTGCTCCTGGCCGTGGACCTGGGCCTCCGCACGGTGGGCGTCGCCTGCTACGACGCCGCCGGCGCGCTCGTCGCCTTCGCGTCCGCCGACGACGGCGACGACGGCGCGGCGGCCGTGGCCGCGGCCGCGGCGCGCTGCGGCGTGTCGCCCGCGCGGCCCGCGACGAAGGTCGTCTGCGAGGGCACGTCGCGGCGCCTCGCGGCCGAGGCCTTTGGCGCCCTCGAGGCCCGGGGCTTCGTCGCGATTTCCGCGGGCGGCGCGCCGACGCTCGTGGACCCGGAGGACTGGCGCTCGGCGGTTTTGGCGCCCAAGGAGCGGCTCGACGCGAAGAAGGCCAAGCACGCCGCGCGGCTCATCGCGCGCCAGCTCGCCGACGACCTGCCGGGCTGGGCCGCGCGGGACCTGACGACGGACGCGGCGGAGGCCGTCGTCCTCGGCGCCTGGGCCGCGACGGAGCTCGGCTGGCGCGCCGGCGCCGTCGGCCGCCGCTTCTCGAACGGCGACCTCCGCCACGTGGCGAAGCGCGCGGACGTCGCCGTCGCGCGCTAGGCTTGTCGTTCCTACTAGGTGTTCTATGCTTGCTTTGGTATTCCGCGGGGGGAGGGGGCGCGCCGCGGGCGGCGGGCCCCGCGCGGCCGCCTACGCCGTGGACGCTCGCTGCGCGAGGACGCCCGTGATGCGGTAGGAGAGCGCGAAGAGCTTCGACTGGAGCGCCTGGAGCTCGTCGGGCGCGAGGGCGTCGACGGGCGCCCGCTCGAGCGCGAGGCCGAGCGCGTCGACGACGTCCTTCGGGCTCCGCTCGGGCGCGGCCGCGGGCGGCGCCGCGGCGGCGGCGGCGGCGGGCGACGGCGCGCGGCGCCGGGGGCCCGGCGGCGACGACGACGCGCTGCCCGCCGTCGCCGACTCGTCGCCCGACGCCTCGACGGCCGCGAAGACGGACAGGAGGCCGCTCGCGGCCGCGCGCTCCTCGTCGGACCGTGACGGCGCCCTGGGCGCGGGCCGCGGCCGCTTCGCCGGCGGCGACGTCGACACGCGGGGCTCCGCCGCCGCGGGCGCACCGGGCGCCGCCGCGGCGTAGCCCGCGGCGTAGATGGACTGCGTCGTCGGCTTGGCGTACTCGGCCATGTCGAGGCTCCCGAGCGGGATCGGCACGCGCGTCGACCGCCGCGTGCCCTCGGGCCGCTCCTTCGCCGCGGGCGGCGCGGGCCGCTTCGCCGGCGCGGGCGGCGCGCCCCGCGCACCGTCGGCCGCCCGGGGCGGCGCCGCGGCCTCGTCGGGCGTCGGCGCGTAATGAGGCGAGAAGATGGACACGGGCGCCTTGGCGTACTCGCTCATGTTCATCGGGCGCGCGATGGGCGCGCGCGTCGAGCGCCGCGGCTCGACCTGCCCCATCATCCTCGCCGCCTTCGAATGCTTGGTCGCGGCCGAAATCGTCGGCGTCGACAACACTGACGTTCCACGCGTCAACGATACGGCGGCACAGCGGCGGCGAGCGGGCGGGCCCCGACGTCGACGAGGGCGACGACGCGTGCGCTGCTGCGTCGGCGGCGCGTCGAGGCGCGACAAGGGCTTAGACTTCCGAGGCGCGACGACGCGACGACAGAGCCTCAGGTGTTGCACGAGAGCCGAGCTTGCAAGGGCAAGGCTCTGCGGGCCCGGACAAAAAGATTCGAGCCTGCATTGAACACATCTTGCTGGGCAGTTTGCTGCCCCCAACTTCACGTATCCGGGGCAGCAAGCTGTTCGTTTTGCCGGGAACAGGACTGCTGGTGCGGCCCGGGGCGGTGCTCGTCGGGTGCCGCGGCGGCCGGGAGCGGTGGTCGTGCCCCTGGCGCCATGCCGGCCTACTACGCGCGGGCGCTCTACGACTACGCGCCGGCGGCGGGCGAGGACGAGCTCGCCCTCGTCAAGGGCGAGTTGGTGGAGGTGGTGAGCACGGAAGACGACGACTGGTGGCGCGGCCGCGCGCGGGGGCTCGAGGGCGACTTCCCCGCGAGTTACGTCGAGGTCGTCGACGGCCCCGACGAGGAGATCGCCGAGGACGGCGGCCTGAGCCTCGACGGCGGCGGGTCGTACGAGGAGCCCGCGACGCCCGAGGAGGAGCTCATGCCCGCGGCGCCGCCGCCGGAGGACGCCGAGCCCGCGCCGCCGCCCGTGGAAGATTTAGGCGACCTGCCCCCGGACTGGGAGTCCGCCGAGGACGACGCCGGCGAGACCTACTATTGGAACGTGAAGACGAACGAGACGTCGTGGACGAAGCCGGCGGCCGACCCGCCGAAGCCGCGCGCGGCGCCGCCGCCGCCGAAGCGGCCCGAGGGCACGCCGCCGAAGAAGGCGCCCCACGCGGGCCGCTCTTTAAAACCGACGACGCCCGAGAAGGCGCCCGAGCGGCCCGAGGAGGACCAGCCGCGCGGCGGCCTCCGCGGCATGCAGAAGGCGCTCGCGCGCGCCGAGGCCGAGTCGCAGCAGCTCGAGGAGGAGGCCGAAGCCATGCGCCGGCTCAAGGTCGAGGGCACGGAAAACGCGGCCCAGGACAGCGAGCGGGCCCAGGCGCTCGTGCGCCAGCTCGAGGCCGCCGCGTCCGCGGCCGAGCGCCGCCAGGCCGCCGCCGAGGCCGCGGCGCGCGACGCCGAGGCCGCGCGGGCCCGCGAGGAGGCGCGGGCCATCGAGGCCCAGCGGGAGGCGACGGCGGCCCAGGCCGCGGCCAAGTCCGTCACGCCCGCGGTGCCCGACACCGCGACGATCGACCTGATCGCCAAGGTCGTCAACGAGCGCATCAAGGCCGAGTTCGAGGAGCGCGACACGGTCATCCAGTCCGTGCGCGTCGCCATGGAGCGCCTGCGCCACGAGCTGCTCTCCCAGCAGGAGCTCCTCAGCGCGCGCACGGAGAAGCGGTCGCGGGCCCGCCACGCGGCGAGCCAGGCGCCGCGGAGCTCCCGGTCCGAGAACAGCGCGATGTCGAAGATGGACGAGCGCGCGCAGCACCGCCAGGCCGCGTCGAAGCTCCGCCTGCCCCGCGTGAAGACGCGGCCCCAGCCCAAGACCGCCGACGCCGAGTCTCGCATGCCCGAGCCCAAGAAGTACGTGCCCCGCCATTTGGACGCCGGGGAACCGGCCTTCGACGAGAATTTGCCGCGAGTCGCCAACCTCGCGTCCCACGACAAGGCGCGGCGCGTCCACGAGACCAAGGCCGTGCGCACGCTCGCGGCCCAGGCCGCCGTGCGCTACGCCAAGTGCAAGTCGACGGTCTTCGCGCCCGACGGCGCGGAGCGGGCGCCCGCGGAGGCGCCCGAGTCGAACCTCTGGCTCGAGCACGTCCATGGGTATGCCGGCGAGCCGCCGCGCAAGGGCACCTTCGGCGGCCGCAACGCCGTCTGGATGAAGGACGGCGCCACGGCCGTGTTCCCCGCCGCGGCGTTGGTCGTCGTCCACGACCCGCCGAGGAACCAGCAGCGGTTCTTCAACGGCCACGCGGCGTCGGGCGAGGCCGTCACGGCCGTGAGCCGCCACCCGCGCTACGACGTCTTCGCGTCGGGCCAGGCCGGGCGGCGCCCCAAGGTCTGCATCTGGAAGCTCGGCGACGAGAAGGCGATCGAGCCCGTCGCGGATTTACAATTGCCCCAGGGGTCGCGCCACGTGTCCCACCTACGGTTCTCGCCCTGCGGCCACCTGCTCCTGTCCATGTGCGCCGACGAGTCCCACACCTTCACGCTCTGGGACTGGCAGCGCGCGGCGCCGCTCGTGTCGCAGCGCGCGGGCAACGCGGCGGTCTTCGGCGTCGAGTTCCACCCGGCGCTCTACTCCATCACGTCCCCCGTGGGGCCGGACCACCCGGACTTCCGCGTGGGCAACCTGCAGCCCGACGAGGCCCAGTACACGCTGTCGACCTGCGGCGTGCGCAACGTCAAGTTCTGGACCGTGACCTGCGTCGCCCGTCCCAGCGCCGCGGGCGCGCCCGGCCAGCTCCCCGGCGGCGGCGGCGCGTCGACGTCGCCGCGGCACAAGCGCGGGTCCGTGTCCGGCTTCGCGCCGCCGACGCAGTGGAAGGTCGAGGGCAACGCGGCGCCCGTGGGCCGCCACCCGGAGCTGCAGCACGTGACGTTCACGGCCATGGCCGCGGCGGTGGACACGGAGGACCACCGGTCCGGGCCCGCCATGCCCCTCGGGCGCTACGTGCTCGCGACGGACCGCGGCGCGGTCTGCGTCTGGCAGCAGCTCGAGGACGACGCGTTCCCGCGCGACCAGCAGGTCGACGTCGTCGACGGCAACGCGAGCCCGATGATGTTCGTGCGCTGGCTCGCGCGCGGCAAGTGCGTCGCGCTCCACGGCACGGCCCACGACGGCGCCGTGCTCGACGTGGCCTGCGCGGCGGGCTCCGCGCTCCGGGGCGGCCGCGCGGCGCGCGTCGCGACGGCGGGCCGCGACGGCAAGGTCAAGCTCTGGCTCCTCGCGTCCACGGCGGGGCCCGGCGCGATCCGCGACGCGCCCATCGTCCAGGTCGGCGAGCTCCTCGTGGCCGCGCAGGCGCCGCTGTTGGGCGCGCCCCGGTCGCTCTGCTGGGACGACGCGGAGACGAAGCTCCTCGTGGGCACGCAGGGCAACGCGCTCGCCGTCGTCGAGGCGACGCTCGCGTCGTCGGCGGCCGTCGACGGCTCCGCCGAGTCGCCGGAGCAGGCGCAGAAGGCCTACGCGGCGGGCTTCGGCGACTGCGCGCGCGAGGCCCAGGCCGCGCACGCGGGCTTGGGCCTCGCGATCTTCCACCACGGCCACGTGGGGCGCGTCAACATGCTCGCGGCCCACCCGTCCTTGCCCGTCATGGCGTCCGTGGGCAACGACCGCACGCTCCGGCTCTGGGACAACACGGACCGGCGCCTCGCGCAGCTCCTGCGCCTGCCCGACCGCGCGACGGCCGTCGCGTTCCACCCGGACGGCGCGTGGCTCGCGCTGGGCACGGAGAGCGGCGACCTGCTGCTGGCGACGTGCGAGTCGGGCGCGGGGCCGTCGGCGCGGGGCTGGGCCGTCGTCCAGCGCCGCAAGTGCGCGGCCAAGGGCAAGACCGCGAAGCCGCCCGGCGCGGCGCAGAAGGTCGAGCACAAGGGCGGCCACGTCGTGCTCACGAACGCCGCCGAGGGCCACGGCGGCGACGAGACGAACGCGGCGGGCGTCGCGGCGCCGCGCGAGCAGGAGAAGCGCTGCGCGGTGACGGACCTCAAGTTCTCGCCCGACGGCGCGAATTTGGCCGCGTGCTGCATGGACAAGTCCATCTACGTCTTCGCGGCGGACGCGGCCTACAAGCGGCGCCTCGTGCTCAAGGGCCACAGCTCCACGCCCCTCCACCTCGACTTTTCGGTGGAGGGCGCCATCCTCCAGACGAACGACGCCGCGCACGAGGTGTTGTTCTGGGACGTCGCGCGCGGCAAGCAGATCACGAACGCGTACTCCCTCAGGAACACGCAGTGGGCGTCGTGGACCTGCGCGCTGGGCTGGCCCGTCCAGGGCATCTTCGACGCGGAGACGGAGGCCCACAGCCACGAGATCGCCGCCGTCTGCCGGTCGAACAAGTCCGACGTCGTCGTCGCGCCGGGCGCGAACAACGTGCTCCGCCTCATGAAGTTCCCGTCGATGCGCGGCTGCGCGTCGAAGAACTACGGCTGCCACCGCGACCAGATCTCCTCCCTCGCCTTCCACGCCGACGACGCCAAGTGCCTCTCCGTCGGCGGCAAGGACGCGACCATCGCCCTCTGGGCCCACTTCACCTAGGCGGCGCCGATTCGTCGTGTCGCCGCCTCCGCCTCCCCCAGCTTCGAGCCCCCAGCACCACCCTTACGCCCCCTCTCTTTGCGTTTCCTCGATCGCGGCGGCGAGCCACGGCGGCAGCGGCGCGTCGGGTTTCGCGGACGCCTCGAAGCGCCACGTCGCGGGGCACCGGCCCGCGGGCGCGTGCGCGTAGCCCGGGCCCGGGCTCGTCGCCTCGAAGGCGCCGACGAAGCGGAGGCCCTTGGGAGCGAGGTCGCGGCAGTCGCCCGCAAAGGCGTCCGGCCCGCGCGCGCAGAGCGTCACGCGCGCCTCGCGCCGGCCCCGGGCCTTGCCCGCGGCGAGCGCGGCGCGCAGGGACTCGAGCACGGCCGCGACGAGCGCCCGGTTCGACTTTGGGTTCGACTCCCCGGTGTGCGGGTAGTTGAACTCGAAAATCGTCGCCTTCGTCGGCGGCAGCGGCTCCGTCGCGTCGACGTCGAAGGACACGTCGCCGGTCTCGGCGAAGGCCTCGAGCGCGTCGAGGCCGTGCTCCGTGAAGATCGTCTCCTCGTCGTCGGGCGTCGTGGCCCAGATCTTCCAGCGGGGCCGCGCGCGCTGCAGCGCCAAGGCGTAGGAGAAGTCGCCCTCGCCGAGGAGCAGCACGGACTCGTGTTCGCCGTCGGCCGGGCGGCCGGCGTCGGAGGAGCGCTCATCCGCCCGGCGGCCGGCGCCGGAGGAGCGCTCCTCCGCCCGGCGGCCGGCGCCGGAGGAGCTCGAGGGCGGCGCTGCGGCTGCCGCTGATGCTGGTGCTGCGGCTGGCGCTGCGGTTCGTGGCGCTGCGCCGGGTGCTGCTGGCGGCAGCACGAGCTGGCCGCTCTTCTCGAGCGACAGGAGCGCGTCGTAGACGCGCCGCTTGGCCTGCGTGCGGCGCCGGGCGTCGCGCCGCCGGCGACGGATGCTAGTGCGCATCGTGAATGAGCTCGCCACAAGAGCTGCTCTTTGCCTTCAACCAACGAGCCTTTTAGCCCTCCCCGCGGACGCCTAGAGCTCCTCGGCCGGCGCGCCCGCGGCGTCGGCGACGCCGGCCGGCGGCGCGCCGAGCTCGAACTCGCCGTCGTCCTCCGCGGAGAAGTCCGTCTGGTTCGCGCGGTACTCGGCGAGGCGCTGGGCCTCGAGGACCTCCATCTGCTTCGCGAGGTCGGCCTCGAGCTTGGGCTGCATGTAGAACTTCATGTAGAGCATGGCGCCCGTCATGACGACGAGCTGGACGGCGCACTGCTTGAGGAGCTTCTTCCACGAGAACGGCTCCGGCGCGGGCAGGTCCTTGAACATCTTCTTCTCCCACTTCTTGTAGTGCTTGTCGCGCGCCGCCTTCTCGAGCTGCTTCCGCTCCTCGGGCGTGGGCTCCGGCGGCGGCGGCGCGGGCGGCGGCCGCTCCCAGATCGTCCGCCGCCGCTTGAAGACCGCGTCGATCGGCGCGCCGATGCCCGCGCGCTTGCACGCCGCGTTGAGGCGCATGATCTTGGCCAGCGCGGGCTTGAGGTAGGCGCGGTACTCGTAGGAGTCCTCGCTGAAGAGCTCGTTGGCCTCGTCGGACGGCAGCCGCACCTCGTTCGTCCAGTGGCGGATCGCCTTGTCGAGCGCGGGCCGGTCCAGGTCCCGCTGGAAGTCCTCGTCGTCGCAGAGCTGGCCCAGGATGGCCTCGATGCACTCGATGTGGTCCCGGATCTCGTCCTTGGCCTTCTCCTTCTCCTTCTTCGTGACCTTTTTCTTCCGGCCCTCGGACCAGTCCGACGCCTCGTCCGGCGCCGCGTACTCGCCCGGCGCCGCGACGCGCGGCGGCAGCTTCTCCGCGACCTTGAGCTTCTCGTCGATGGCCTTGTAGCCGTCGAGCTCGTGCTGGATGAGCTCGTCGCGCCGCTTCTCGCGCTTCGCCTTCTTCTCCGCCTCGCTGAGCCGCCACTCGTCCTCGTCGCTGTCGGGCTCGTAGTCCTCGATCTTGTCGAACTTGCGGTAGTCCGTCATCCCCTGCGGCATGGCGCGAGCGACGATGCGGGCGCGGCGGCCGCGTCAGGTCTCGGCGCGCACGTCCACGCCGTGCGGCGTCGTCGATCGACGCAAGGCGTTTTTTTTACCACAGCAAGTCAAGCAACGCGACACGTTGAAGACCCTCTACGCGCGCCGCCGCATCGCTGCGTCGCGCGGCCAACACACGATGCGACTGCTCCGGCTCGGTGTCGACATCGCTCTGCGCGGCGGCTGCTTCGCGTCGCTCGTCGTGGCCTACTCCTACGCCGAGGTCGCCGGCGGCGCCCACCTGCCGGCGCACGTGGCCCCGACGCTCGCGCTCTTCGGGTGCGCGGCCCTGGGCGCCGTCTGCGACGGCGCGCGCGTCGCCTGGACGGCGCTGTGCCTCGGCGCCGTCGGCGCGCTGCGCGCGTACCGCGCGGCCGCGGATCGCGGCGACCACGCGTCGCAGCGCGCGGCGGAGCTCGCGAAGCGGGCGGCGGCGCGCCTCGACGCCCTCGAGTTCGCGGCCTTCGTCGCCTTCGCCGCGGCCTACTGCCTCGCGCCGCGGCGGCGGCCCGCCGGCGGCGCCGCGGCCGCGCCGACGTTCGGGCCCTGGGAGGCCGAGGTCCGGCGGCTCCTGGTCGCGCGGCGCGCGACGGAGGACCTCCACCGCGTCGACGGCTGGCTCGCGGACCACAGAGGCCGCGAGGCCGACCTCCTGCGCGACCTCGAAAGGCGGTACGCGGCGGACGCGGACGGCCGCCCCGCGGACTCGCCGGGCCTCCGCGCCGTCGCCGCGACGGCGACGGGGCTCCGGGACCTCTCGCTCTAAGAGTCGTCTTTTCCTCCACCGTCGGTGCTCTTAGGTCGCGCGCGCGCGCGGCCCCCGCCGCCGCCGCGGCCTCCCTAGTAGAGGTCGTCGTACTCCTCGTAGTACTCCTCGTCCTCGCCCTCCTCGGAGACGAGCCCCCAGATGATGAGGCCGATGACGAAGATCATGAGGAAGACGCCGACCCAAAACCTGCGCGCCGCGCCGTCGGCCGGCCGCGCGCGAAAAGCCCCCGGGCGTTCGACGCCGCGCGACGCGCTGCGGCGTGAGCCCCTCCGACGAGTCGTCCCAGTCGCGCGCGCCGCCGCCGCGGCTCTCCCAGCCGCGCGGCATCTCCGCGAGCTTCGCCTTCGTGCGCGCGAGCTCGTCCTGGAAGGACTGCTGCCGGTGGCGCAGGCGGCTCGACTCGTCCTCGTACTCGGGCATGGCCTGCTCCGTCGGCCCGTCGTCGTAGCCGACGTCGTCCTCGTCGATGTCCAGCTCCTTGCCGGACATGGTGTCGGAAGCGGCGCGGCGCTGCGGAGCGGCGCGCGCGCGGCCGAGCACTTGTAGCTGTGCTTTGCCGCAACGGGCTGTTCGATCGGCGAGCGGCGCAGGCAGCCTGCAGGCCTCGGTGTCGGAGAGCTCTCCCGGCCGCCGCCGCAGCTGCAGCGACTCCTCCCAGGCGACTTACACATCGAAGCCCATGCCCGCGGCGCGGAGCCGGTCGACGAGGACCGTGCCCAGCGCCGCCGCGGGCGTCCAGACGCCGCCGCCGGCGCGCGGCGGCGGCGCGCCGTCCGCGAGCGCGAGCGCGGCCTCGGAGACCATCTTCGCCGTCTCGTCGTAGCCCGGGTCGCCGCCGGAGACGGACGCGAGCAGATCGTTCGTCGCCGCGTCGACGACGTCCAGCCGGAAGGAGCTCGCGGCCCGCGTCGCCGCGTCGGGCCCCGCGCCCGGCGCGAAGAGGCGGCCGCGGTCGACCAATTTTTGCAGCGCGTCCGGCGGCACCGCCGCGTTCTTCGCCATCTTCGACGCCGCGGCCTCGCTGGGCGCGACGGCGTACTCGTCGTAGGAGAAGCCGGCGCCGTAGCCGAGGAGCTCGCCGGACCGGCGCACGACGCGCGTGTTGATGGGCGCCATCCCGAACGGCGCGAGCCAATAGGGCCGCGCGGCACTCGGCGCGACGGCCGCGACGACGTCGCCGTTGACGACGGCCGGGTCGCCGCCCAGGAGGCACGCGTTTGCGACGTCGCCGGGGAAGTTCTTGGCCATGAGGATGCCCGTCGCGATGGTCCCGCCGGACATGGCGCCCTTCATCGTCGCGTGGCCCTGCAGGGCCGCGCCGGGCCCGGCCTTCCGCGTCGCCAGGAGGACGCCGAGGTCGCTGGGCACGCTGTCGAAGCCGCAGTTGGGCACGATGACGGCGCCGGAGTCCGCGGCGGCGGCGTGGTCGCGGTCGATGATCCGCCGGACCCACGGCACCTCGCCGTCGATGTCGACGTAGTGCGCGCCGGCCCGCGCGCACGCGGCGACGACGGCGTCGGAGTAGAGCGAGAAGGGGCCGGCCGTCGAGAGCACGACGCGCGCGGCGGACGCGAGCGTCTCGGCGTCGGCGGGCGCGTCGCTCGGCGACGCGACGACGGTCTCCTGCGGCGGCGCGGGCGCGCCGGCGAGCGACGCGGCCAACGTCTCGAGCTTGGCTCGGCTCCGGCCCGCGACGGCCCAGCGCAGGCCGGGCGTCTTCGACAGGTAGGCCGCGACGAGCGACCCCGTGAAGCCCGTGGCGCCGTAGACGATGATGTCGAGCTTGCCCATCGTTCTCGCCACGCTTCGGCGAAGTTTACCCTCGATGTTGAACTTTGTAATTCGGGCTGCCCGCGGCGACCACTCGAGCCGCCGCAGCCGCCGCCGCGAGCGCCGCAGCCGCGAACTGAGCTTTGTAATTCCGGCAGCCCGCGGCGACCACCCGAGCCGCCGCCGCCGCGCGCCGCGAGCACCGCAGCCATGGGCATCTGCTTCGGCATCCACAGCCCGGAGCCGGCGGCGGACGCCGCCGCCGCGAGCGATGCGCCGGCGCACCTGGAGAGCGAGGAGATCGTCGCCGTCATCGGCCACGGCGGGTCCACCATAAAAAAGATCGAGCACGACAGCGGCTGCAAAATCCACATCGATCGCGGGAGCGGGTCCATCGCCTACGACGGCTCCGACACCGCCGTCGCCGCGGCAAAGAAGGCCGTGGCCGTCGCCGTGGCCAAGGCGCACGAGATGCCCGATTACACCGGGCCGGAAGGCGGCAAGCAGCGCGCCGAGGCCTTCAAGCTCTCCAAGAAGCGGGACGGCTTCAAGCACGACGCCAAGGCGGCCTACGACCGCGGCGACAAGGCCGCGGCGCACGCGGCGAGCGTCAAGGGCAAGGACCTCGACGCCGAGGTCGCGAGGCTCCACGCGAGGGCCGCGGCGACGATCTTCGCGTACCGCAACAAGGGCCACCCGGAGACGTTCATCGACCTCCACGGGCTGCTCGTCGACGAGGCCCTGCGGTTCCTGACGCAGCGGCTGGACGCCCTGAAGCAGGGCGACCTCGAGGTCGTCACGGGCGCGGGCCACCACTCGGAGAACCACGTCGCGAAGATCAAGCCCGCGGCCATCGCGCTCTTCAAGGAGCGCCGGCTGAAGTTCTCCGAAATCAACGCGGGCGACGTCAAGGTCCACCTCAAGTAAGGATACCTTCTTAGCTGTACCAGAGCTCCACGGGGACGGTGACGAGGCTGCAGGGCGGCACCCAGAACTTGGCCTTGCTCCAGCGCGGGCCGCCCTTCCAGGACCCCGCGGCGCCGCGGCTCGCGCCGACGCCCTCCTTGGGCTTGCCGACGGCGTTGGTCTTCATCTTCCCGTTGAGGTCCTTGTCGTGGAGCACGAGGACGCCGTAGTTGCCGATGGACTCCTCGAGCCGCACGGTCCAGGTCACGTTGTTCTTGTCGACGATGGGCTTCGTGTCCACGAGGAACGCGCCGCCGTCCTCGTCCCAGTCCTGCGGTGCGGGGAAGGGTAAAACGACGAAACGGGGGCGGACGCCGCCGGCGCGCGTCCTTGTCCTCGTTCCACTCGTCGCCGTCGTCGTGGAGCCAGAGCTTGGCGCCGCCGTCGTCGTTCTTGAAGTCGGACGCGACGATTTTTATCATGGACGCGAGGCACGGCGTCGGGGCCCGCGTCGGCCGCCGCGTGGGCACGGGGACGGGCACGTGCGTCGCGTTCGTGGCGTTGCTCAGCTTCCAGGGCACGAAGGCGGCCGCCGGCGCCTCGGTCGCCGCCGCGGCGTCGCGCCGCAGCGACTCGACCGTCACGGGCTGCCCGCCCCGCGTCGCCTCCGTCCGTCGGAGCCGCGTCTCCCACACGAACAGCGCGCCGCAGGCGACGAGGAACAGGAACCAGGCGAAGACGCGGCAGGCCCAGCGGCCGGCGCAGCGCGCGCTCCGCCGCTCGCAGCGCGCCGGCGCGAGGCAGCAGAGGTAGCGGCAGAGGCGGTCGCAGCAGGATCGTTTGCGTGTTGGTCTTTCGGCGACGACGGCGGGCAGCACCTTGGTCCGAGGGTGGTCCACAGGTTCGACGAGGGCCTCCTCCACGACTTCGCAGTCCTCGGCGTCCACGTAGCGGACCACGGCGGCCTTCTCGGGTGACGACATCGTTCGCGGGATCGTGCGGCTAGGCTGCCCTGAATCGTCAACATTGACTGCAAGCAAGCACGCGACGGCTGCAACTTAGCGACCGCGCGGGCTTATGCGCACCATCTTGGCCGCGGCGCTCTCGTGGTCGTCGGCGCGCTCCCTCGTCGCGCCGCGCACCCCGCTCCGGCGCGTCGCCTCGTCCATGGGCGGCACGAGCTCGCGCGCGGACGTGCTGGACGCCCTGCGGTCCGTGGACAGCGAAGCGCTGCTGAACGAGGTCGCGCGGCGCGGCCTCGACGCCGGCGACGCGTCGGCGCCCGGCGCGAAGCGGCCGCGCCAGGAGCACGTCGTCGGCGAGCTCCGCGCGAAAGACGAAAGCTCGGACGCGCGCGAGGCCGAATTGCGGGCCGCGCTCGGCCGCGTCGGCGTGGACTGGGCGGAGCTCGCGGGCGGGCCGCCGCTCAAGGCCTACCACACGTACTGCCGGCCGCGGTCCGGCGGCGACGCGAGCCAGAGCGCCGAGAACGCGGCGCACCAGATCGCGTTCCTGCAGCGCCACGAGCTCGCGCGACGCGACGAGCACTTCCGGAACACGGACCTGGCGGCGCAGGGGCGGAAGGCGCGGGGCGAGGCGCCCCACCGCATCCACGTCGTGCTCGACAACGTGCGCTCCGCGGAGAACGTGGGCTCCATCTTCCGCAGCGCCGACTGCGGCCGGTGCCTCGAGGTCGTGACGTGCGGCTTCACGCCGAATCCCCTGTCGACGGCCAAGCTCGCGAAGACGGCCTTCGGCGCGGAGGCCGCCGTGGCGCACCGCCACTTCGAGTCGACGAAGGCGGCCGTCGAGGAGTTGAAGGCCGCGGGGGTCTCCGTGTGGGCGCTCGAGACCGTCGACGGCGCGGCGCCCTACGCGGCGGCGCCGCTGCCGCCCGGCGCCTTCGACGGGCCGGGCGTCGCCCTCGTCCTGGGCAACGAGGTCACGGGCGTCGACGGCGCCGTGCTGCCCCTCGTCGACGCCGTCGTCGAGATCCCGACCTTCGGCACGAAGAACTCCATGAACGTCGCCTGCGCGGCGACGACGGTCATCTTCGACGTCCTCCGCCGCTGGCGCGACGAGGACGCGGCGTCGCGGTAAGGGGCGCGTCCGTTCGTTCGGAAGAAGGGGCCCCGCGAGAGAAGGGGCATGGGCCGCAAGTTGAAGGCTCAGTGAAGCAGGCCTTGAAGCTTTGTTGACGAGGTTGCAGCTGCTTCCGCTGCGGGCTGAGAATCGTCACACAGCCTCGCACAGCACCCTCATCGCACGCCGGACGCGCAAGTATGACCCGCATCATCGCCCTCGTCGTCGCCCTCGCGGCGTGCACGCAAGCATTCGTGCAGCCGCAGCCTCTGCGCAAGGCCTCGAGCTCCCTCCAGGCCACGACCTTCCTCCTCCCGGCGCGCGCCCGCCCGTCGCGCTTCCCCCGGTCTCGCGAGCTCAAGACCATCACCCAGGACCCGCAGCCTCCGCGCACGACCTCGAGCTCCCTGCACGCCACGCCCTTCCTCGTCCCGGCGCGCGCCCGGCCGTCGCGCTTCCCCCGGTCGCGCGAGCTCACGACGATCACCCGGGACCCGACGCTCGCGACGTCCGTGTCCACGGCCGGCGCGGCGCTCGTCGCGTGGCACAGCGTCGTCGGCGCGGCGTACTGGCGGGGCTCCTTCGTCCTCGACCTGCCGTTCCTCGTCTTCTCCCTCTTCCTGTTCCTGCAGACCTACCGCACGCGCTTCGTCTTTGACGGCTCGGCCTTCGAGGTCACGAAGCGAAACCTCGACGGCGCGCCGCTCGCGACGGACAACTTCGTCGTCGGCGGCCGGAGCCGCTGGGACTACGGCGCCATCGGCGGCTACAAGTTCCTGCCGGCGCGCGCGGCGCCCGCGCTCCTCTACTTCACCGAGACGGCGACGACGGGCGCCGAGCCCCAGATGCACCTCTGCCCCGTCCTCGGCGCCGCGGGCGAGCTCGAGCGCGAGTTCGCGCGCCACGGCGTCCCGCGGCTCTAGGGCGCGCGGTTCCAAAAGAGTTAAGGCGGCTCCCAGGCCGCGTGGCGCGTGTTCGAGACGCCGGGGCTCAGGCCGAGGGGCGACGCCGCCGGCCGCGGCGGCGCGCCGGCGGTCCCCAGGCTGCCGCGGCGGCTCGGCTTCCGCGGCGTCTCGCGCGGCGCCTCGTCGCCGAGCGCGAAGGTCGCGCGCGTGGGCTTGTGGTCGCTCAGCGCGACGCCGTGGGCCGCGGCGTGGTCCGCGAGCGTTGCGCGGCCGCGGTAGAGCACGCGGTCCGTGTACGCGGGGATGCGCTTCTCGCTATACACCGTCGGCGCGGCGCCCTTGAGGACCTTGAACGTCGGCGCGAAGCCGTCGCAGGGCGCGTCGCGCCACGTGAGGACGCGCGCCGGGTGCGCCGCCGCGAAGGCGCCGCGCTTGCGCCGCACGTGCGCGAGCAACCTCCCGAGCTCGTCCCACGCGAGGATCGCCGCGAAGTCGCCCGCGGCGACGCGCGCCAACACCAGTGACCGCGCCTCGGGGTCGTCCTCCATGACCACCGCCGGCGCCGCGTGCTTCGGCGACAGGTCCCCCTCGTCGCGGCTCAGGTCCGCGGCGGCCTTCAGAGCGGCCCGAAACGCGCCCGCGTCGCGGTCGTCGCGCGGGTCCACCCGAAAATTCAGGTCCCCGAAGAAGAAGGCCGCGTCCGCCCGCGCGACGTAGTCGCCGAGCGCCTCCTGGATCGTCCCGATGGCCTTGACGCGCTGGGCCGCGCGGCCCTCGTGCGCCGGCAGGTGCGCGACGACCGCGCAGATCTCGAACGCGCGGTCGTCGCCGAGGTCGCTCCGGAGGCCGACGCGCGCGGCGAGAGCGCCCTTGAAGGCCTGGGCGGGCTGGGCGCCGTCGAGGGCCAGGTTGACGTAGCGCGCGGGCGCCGCGGCCGCGCAGCGCCAGCCCTTTGCGACGAAGCAGAAGAGCTGGAGGCCGATGCGCCGCGCGCTGGCCGTCTCGCGCGCGTCGTCGTGCTCGTAGGCCAGGGGCACGCGCTCGTGGTCCACGAGGTGGCGGGCGAGCAACGTTTCCGTCGACTTGTAGGCGCGGTGCGACGCCTCCTGGAGGCCGACGACGACGACGGCCGCGGGCGACCCGTCCCCGGCGGCGCCGCGCCGCAGCCACACATCGAGCGACGGGCCGTCGAGCTCGCCGCCGCCGATGTTGAAGCTCGCGACGACGACGCGCGGCGGCGGCGGCAGGACGACGTCGACGATGGGACCGCTCGACGACAGCATGAAGGCCACGCGCCCGGAGAGCTGCTCCTTGAGCGCGGTGTCGGGCGCCGCGTTCGTCGCCTCGCCGAGCGCGGGCGTGTCCTTCGCGCGTTTCTTCCGCCCGAAGAGGAAGCGCATGGCTGCGGTCGCGCGCCGCCGACGGCCGCTCGGGACAAAGCAGCGCTGCTTGCCGAAATGCCAACCGGCGAAATTCGCCAATCACGCGACGGCATCACGCGGTGACCTCGGCGTCACAGCCCCTCTACTCGTGGTCGAGACGCATCGTGCGCCTAAATACTCGCCCCGGGTGGAGCCAGGACGAGCCGTCGGAGCTCAAAAAGGAAGCGGCTGCCCTGGTGCGCTGCTCGGACGTGAGGAGCCCCGTCCGCGCCTCTCAGGAAACCGCCGCGCGCTTTACTCCGAACAGAGCCCGGGGAGGAGCGCCGTCGGCGGCTCCGCCGCGTCACAGAGCACGCCGCCCTCGGGCTCGAGGACGGCCACGCCCGCGTCTCGCAGGAGCGACAGCGTCGCGGCCCACGCGCGCCGCCAGTGCGCGCGCTCGTCCGGCGAGAACGCGTCCGACGGGACGGGCGGCGACGGCGCGCGCGGCGGCAGGCGGAGCCCCTCCAGCGCCAGGAACGCGCCCACGCGGCCCGCGTCGTCGCGGAGGGCGTCGCTGTGCAGCGCGCGCACGGCCGCCGCGCCGAAGACGCGGAGCGCGGCTCGGAGGTGGGGGCAATAAGTAGCGCACGCGGCGTAGGGGAGCCCCGGCGCGGCGACGTCGCGCGCGGCGCAGAAGGCGCGCATCGACGCGTGGATCTCGCCCTCCACCCTCGCGCGGTGCGCGCGGTAGGAGACGAGCTGCGCCGCGGGGTCGCGGACGCAGACCACCGGGACGACGCGCCACGCCGCGAGCCGCGCCGCGAGCCGCCGCATGTTCGCCTCGTCCAAGATCCACGTCGGCGTCTTCGCCGCGTAGCTGCGCGCCGGGTCGAGGTCGGCGTCGAAGAGGCGGTCGGCGATCTCGGCGGTGCCCGTGGCGGGGTGGCGCAGCGCCGTCACGTGCGGCAGTTTCTCGAGGGCCTCGAAGAGCGCCGTCGTGCCACATTTCGGAAAGCCCAGGCAGAGCACGAAGGTGGCTTTCGCCGCTGCGGCCTCGTCGAGCGTGCGCTCGGTCACGGCCGCATCGAACGTGCTCATGCCATGCGCATGCAGCCCAAGCAAACGTCAACAACGGCGATGTTTGCCCCCTGAGGCATGGTGATTTCTTGGCCCGCCGTTGGCGGCGGCCTCGCCGTCGTCGTCGCCTGGCTCTGCGCGAGCGTCGACGGCGGGTCGCGCATCGTCGGCGAGCTCGACGTGGCGCCGTACCGGCCGCCGCGCTGGGTCGCCCACTTCCCGCTGCTGTCGCTGGGCTGGGAGGGCCTGCGCGTCTTGCTCGACTTCCTCTGCCGCGCCGAGGGGTGGACGGTCCGCGAGTTCTGCCTGCCCTTCGACGACGTGCCGTGGATCCGCTGCCTCGCGCTCTCCGGCGCGGAGCCGCCGGCGGGCGCGCCCGTCGCCGTGCTCCACCACCCGAGCGCGCCCGCGGCCGTCTTCTCGGAGCGCCTCGCGCGGGCGCTGCGGTCCGCCGGCTACCGCGTCTTCGCCGTGCCGCCCGCGGGCATCCCCGGCTCCATGGCGGACCATACCGCGTGGTATCTTCGCGTCGTCGGCGCGATCCACGAGGCGTACCCGGGCGCGCCGATCCTGCTCCACGGCGCGTCCGGCGGCGCGGAGCTCCTCTGCGTCGGGCTGCTGCGCACGCCCGGTGAGTTGCGCCGCGTCGGCGTCCGCGGCGTCGCGCTCCAGGGCTGCCCCTACCAGCGGCTGGCCGAGAAGCACGGCGCCGCGGACGACGACCCGGGCGTGGCGACGCTCGCGCTGAACGCGGGCGACGACCCGGTCTACGGCCAGATCGCCGGCCCCGAGGCCTGGCGCGCGGACCTCGGCGCGGACGCGGCGACGCTCGGCGCGCGGCCGGGGACGACGCTCGCGTACTGCGACCGCGGGTCGCACTGCGCCTTCCTCGACGGCTGGTGCGGCCGGTCGTCCTGGGCCGAGCGGTGCGTCGTCGCCTTCGCGGCGCGCGTGGCGAAATCTGGGCCCACGTAAGACGCCGGCTCGTCGCGACCATCGGGGGGGCGGCGCGATTTCAACCTTACGTCGAACCGCGCCCTAGAAGTAGGTCGTGTTCACCCGGCTCGTCGTGACCATGTGGTTCGCGTCGACGACGGTGAGCTGGTCGGGCGCGCGGCGCACGGGGAGGGGCTGGGAGATGTTGAGCTTGCCGTTGACGACGAAGAGCGGGTTCGCGGAGCGCATGACGGCGTCGTTGACGGAGACGCCGTCGAAGTACTGCTTGAGGATGGTCTGGAGGTCGCCGTTCTCCGCCTCGAGGCGCTCGCGCTCGCGCTCGATCGCGAGCTTGTCGAGGAGCACCTTGTTGTACTTGCGGAGGAAGTTGTCGAGGTGGCACCACTCCTGGACGGGCTTGCCGTCGGCGGTCCAACTGGACGTCTGGAGCGCGGCCGCGGCCTCGTCGGCCTCGAGCGGCCGCTTCTCGTCGTCGCCGTCGCCGCCCGGCGCGCCGGACTCGGCCCAGTCGTCCTTCTGGCTCTGGGTCTGGGCCGCGGCCATGGCGACGTCGGCCTCCGTGTTGTTCGGGTTCGCCTGAAACGGAATCACCTTCTCCTGCTCCGTCTCCATCTTCCGCGCGAGCTCCGAGAGCACGAGGATCCGCTCCGCGAGGCCGATGCGGCCCGAGATCTTCTTCTTGCAGGCGTGGGCGTTCTGCGTGAGCTCCGTGAGGCGCTTGCCCTGGGACGTGCGGAAGCGGTTCATGCGCGCCTTGAGCTGCTGGAAGTGGCCCTGGATCTTGTTCTTCTCCTCGAGGAGCAGCGCGTTCCGCGTCGAGCACTCCTTCATGTTCTGCATGAGCTTCGTGCGCCAGTGGTGGAGCGACGCCTGGAGGCGCTCGATCTTGCGGATCTTGATCTCGATCTCCTTGGACAGCTCCTGGTCCTTCTTCGTGTAGTACTTGAAGTCGTGCGTCCGCTGGTCCGTCGTCTGGAGATAATTCAAATGCGCGGTCTCGAAGTGCTGCTCCAGGTCCTCGATCTGGGAGTCCAACCCGATGCGCAGCATGTTGATCTCCTCCAAGTTCTTGTTGCGGATCTCCTCGCGGAGCTGCTCGTGCTCCTGCTTCGCCTCGGCCTCGCGCTCCTGCTCCTCGGACTCGACGGCGGACATGATGTCGTTGAGCTCCTGCGTCTCGAGCGCGTGCTGCTTGACGATGGCCTCCTTCTCCGCCTGGAACTCGGCCTCGAGCGTGTGGAGCTCCTGCTCGAACTCCTGCTCCGACGTCAACAGCCGCGAGTCCTGGAGGTCGATGAGCTGGTCCATGTTCTGCAGGTGGCTCCGCAGCGCCATCTGGAACTGGTCCTCGGCCTCCTCGAGGTCGCGGTCGAGCATCTGGATGATGGCGTCCTTGCGGTCGACGTCGCGCTCGTGGTTCTGCGACAGGATCTCGATGCCCTTGCGGAGCGACTCGACCTTGGCGAGGCGCATGATCTTCCGCCACTGGTTCTGGATCTTCAGGCGGTTCATGCGGCTGTTGGCCTTCTCCTGCTCCATGCGCTGCTTCAGCTCGTTGCGCGCCGCCTGGTACTTCTGGTTCTGGGCGTCGTACTCGCGCTGGCGCATGAACTTCTCCTCGAAGTCGAGGCCCTTGGACCGGCCCTTGACGGGCTTGCCGAGCAGCGCGCCGCCGCGGCACCGCGGCACGAGCGACAGCTGCGACCCCTCGCCGACGAACTCGCGCAGCTTCTGGCGCAGCGCCTTACCGCCCAGCACCTTCCGCGACGACTGGAGGCTGTGCGCGTCCATGTCCGCCGACGTGCGCGCGGCCACGGCGTCGCGGAGCTCGCCGACGGTCGCATCGGCCCCGACGGTGACGACGAGGGACTGCGGCGGGGGGCGGGGATGACGCGGGGGGCGCGTCGCGGGGTCGGGGGGCGCGCGGGTCGCACCTGGTCCCCGTGGCGGAGGAGGAGCTGCATCGCGTCGAGGCGGGGCAGCGCCGTTGTCGGCTCGACGGGGCTGCCGGATACAATTTTTGTTGAGGTCGTTTGTTGCCGGCATGAATTAAATTAGCATGGCGGGCAGCGCATAGTGATTGAGTGTGGCCGAAAGTGTTGGCTGACTGCGGCATGGACGCGGCGTCGATCAATTCAGACGCGATGCGCGAGATCCTTGCGCATTTTCACGTGGATGTCAACCAGACGGACGAGGAAGGAGACACGCTGCTGCACAAGGCCGCCCAAGCAGGGAACACCTCCATGGTTGCGGCGCTACTCGACGCGGGAAGCGTTGATCAACCAGACCCAGGCCGATTCGGTTACCACGCTCTCCACCGCGCTGCTTTGCATGGACATGTGGAGGTCGCGCGCCTATTGGTCAACGCGGGTGGAGATCCGAATGTTCGCGACATTTTCAACTGCACCCCCCTGCACAACGCGGCCGAGACAGGGCACGTGGAAGTCGCGCGTTTCCTCATCGCGGCGGGCGCATATATCAATTGCGTGGACAATTGTGTTGAAACGCCCCTCCATAAGGCGGCTTCTTGCGGTAACCTCGGGCTAGATGTCGCGCGTCTTTTACTCGAAGCAGGCTGCAAGACTGACACGAAAAATGTGCTCATGGGGGAGCCGCTGCATGCCGCAGCGAGGTTCGGAGCTGATGAAACGATCAAATGCCTTCTTGCCTTCGGCGCCAACGTGAATAGCGGCAGTGGCACTTCCAACACGCCTCTCCACGCGGCTTTGGACATGGGCAGGCGTCGCACCCTCGCGGTGCTGCTCGAAGCTGGCGCGACCGTTGACATGGACCAGTTCGAGCGACTCCCGCGCTACAACAAGAATTCCACACAGGTAGTCGAGAATGCCCATCGTCGCGCGGTCCTGCTATCTCGCGAGCCCGCCATGCGCTACCTCGACAAAGTCGTCGCCGCGGGCGGCTACGAGCACCTCGTGCGGACGTACCGCCGCGTCCTCACGGCGCCGCGCGGCTGCCTCACGCGGTACCTGCGGCGGCGCTTCGGCCGCGACGCGCCGCACGACGTCGCCGCGCGCGTCCTGGAATACTGGAAGCCGCCGGGAGGGCCGTAACACGAAAGCTCCAAGAGGAGCTTACTGTGCGTGGCGAACGGCGCCGGCGCGGGAATCACAAGGGGCGGCTAGGCGCCGAGCTTCGCCTTGGCCTTGGCGACGTCGGCGTCCGTGAGCTCGAGCTTGGAGGCCATGTAGTAGGGCGCCATGACGTCGCTGGGGTCCGAGGAGTGGTCGAGGCCGAGGACGTGGCCGATCTCGTGGAGCAGGACGGGCGCGACCTTGAAGTAGGGGTCGAAGAAGCCCGGCTCGCCGTCGAACTTGCGGCGCGGGTGCGGGCGGCCGTCGAGCTCCCACTTCTCGGCCTTGTCGAAGACGATGGTCTCGAGCGTCGCGTTCGCGAGCTGTCCCCCGGGGCCGTCGGAGAAGGCGACGTCCTTGTTCGACGTGAGCTTCCAGGCGAGCGTGAGCTTCGGCGCCGCGTCGTCGCGGGCGAAGGCGATGCCCGTCGCCGCGGACCACTTGGCGAACTGCGCCGCGGCGACCTCGCCGAGCGCCGCGGCGTCGAGCGACGGCGGCACGGTGTCGAGCTCGATGGTCCAGCCGACGGTGTCGCCCGGCTTCCACGACGCCGCGCCCTCGGGCGCCAGATCGTCGCCGTGGAAGTTGTTCAGCAGGAGCGGCTTCGTCTTGGGCCCGACGACGCCGTCGTCGACCAAGCCCGCGGCCCGCTGGATCTTCCTGACCTCGTCGGACACCTCGGCCGTGAAGCCCGCGCCGGGCTCCTTCCCCAGGAGCTTCAGCACCTCGGCCGCGTCGTCGTCCGCGTCGCCCTCCTTGACGGATTTCTCCATGGACGCGAGGCGCGGGCCCTTCAAAACGGGCGTCGGAACGCCCGGCACGTCCGCCGCGGGCTTCGCGTCGCCGCCGCGGGGGAACGTGACGAGCACGTGGAGCGCGACGTCCCTGGGCCGGAGGTCCAGGGCCCGGAGCGCGGCCGTGACGTCGACGTGCTCGTCGAAGGGCGGCCGCGTCGCGCAGTTCGCGCAGCCGGCCGGGTTGTCGATGAAGAAGACGTCGCAGGAGCCCGCGTAGCCCGGCGCCTCCAGGAGCGCCTTGTCGTCGCCCGCGGGCGCCGCGAAGGCGTCGCCGGCTTTGACGACGTAGACGTGCAGCGAGCAGGGCCCGAGCTCGAGCTTCGTGACGTCGATGGCCGGGAACGTCGCGAAGTAGGGCATCTCGCGCATCTGCGGCGGCGACGGCGTCGCGAGCGCGTCGTAGACGAAGCCCAGCGCGGGCGTGTCGAAGCTGTGCTTCGCGTGGTAGGGCTCGCCCGAGGCGTGGTGCGTGAAGGGGCAGTAGATGCCCCAGGGCCCCTCGGGGAACCCGTCGGCCGTCTTCTTCGCGGACCCGAGCGACCGCTGGTGCTTCTCGAACTCCGCGGCCGAGTCGGGCTCGACGGCGAGGTAGGACTCGTAGAGGCGGTCCACGTTGCAGTGGTGGAGCCAGAAGACGGGGTGGAAGGCGCTCTGGAAGCCGCCCATGATGCCGCCGACGTACATGTGGATCGAGTTGTGGCACGACTCGACGGACGGGTTCGCGTGGTCGCTCCAGGACGTGCACGCGTGGGCGCCGTGGAACGTCGACGACAGGCACCGGTCCGCCGTGCGCGCCACGGACCCGCCGTCCAGCTTCATCTTGATGCGCCAATCCTCGGCGACGTCGAGCGCGGGGTCGAACGCCCACCGCGGGTTCATCGTCTTCTTGCCCTCGTGGTACGCGGGCGGAAAAAAGTCGTCGGGGAAGGGCACGGTCATGAGCTTTTTGCGCACGATGCCCGGCAGGATCTCGCCGTTGACCTCGGGCTCGCACCAGTCCCAGTACGGCAGGCCGATGTTCCCGTCGTTGCCGAGCGCCAGGTCCGCGCGCCTTAACGCGCGCTCGAAGTCGAGCAGGTAGGGCCGGTGCCACGTCGGGAAGGCCTCCTGGCCGTGGACGCAGTACTCGGGGAAGCTCGCGCGCGGGAGCTCGGGCATGCCCCCGTGCATGACCGCGAGCCGGAAGTACTCGGACGTGCCGGGCGCGCCGTCCTTGTTCTCGCGCATCTTGAGGACCGCGGCCGCGTAGCGCTCCTGCAGCGCCGGCGGCATCTTCCGCGCCTCGCAGCGCGTCACGACGCCGCTCAGCGGCGCCTCCCACCACGGACCGGCCGGCGCCGGCGGCGGCGCGGGCGCGGCCGCCGGCGGCGGCGCGGGCGCCGGCGCCGCGGGCTGCGCCGTGACGGGCTCGGCCGCGGGCGGCTCCGGCGCCTTCGCCTTCTCCGGCGCGACGGACGCCTCCTTCTTGGGCTTGCCGCCGCCGAGGCACGGACACGCCATGGCGCTGTTCCGCGAGAAGGCAGCCCGCGGACTCAGATCACTTGCGGCGTTCACTCGTTATCATATCAAAAGCAAGATCCGTGCAACATCACTTCACACGGTTTGCTACCAAAACTCAAAAAACGATGTGCTAATCAACCGGGCAGCCTCTCTCAGCTGCAGCGTACCACCCGACCCGCTCGTCCCACTCCTGACGCCGATTCGCACCGCACCGCCTCGTCCGCCGGTCCCGGCGAAAAAAAACAATCATGTCGGGCTACGACTACGACCTCAACAACGACGACGACGACGACCCCTACGGCGACATCGGCGACCTGTCGGCGTCGAGCAGCGCCGACATCGGCAAGTACCGCGCGGCCCTGGAGAAGCGCCAGGGGGGCGCGCGGCCGAGGTCCACGGAGGAGATCCTGCGCCAGTCGCGGGAGCAGAGCGGCCGCGCGGCGTTGCTGCGCGCGTCGGCGGCGACGACGGACCGGTCGCTGACGAGCGACGCCGGCGGCCCCGAGAGCGACGCGAACGAGCGCACGGGCCAATCGGAGTTCGCCAAGGGCGCGCGCGACATCTTCGCGCTCGACTCCCTCTCCTCCGTGGACCACCTCCTCGAGTCGCACGACCGGTCGACGCCGTCGACGGGCGGCCGCGGCGGCAAGCGCCGCCAGCGCCGCGGCCAGGACACGTTCAGCCCGCCGCCGACGCCCGACGACGACGGAATCGGCGACTCGCCGCGGTCGCCGTCGGACGTCGCCGACGACGACTCGAGCGACATCGACCCGGAGCGCGACTTTATGACGACGGCGCAGCGCGAGCAGCGGGAGGCGGCGAAGGAGGCCCTCCAGCGCCGGGAAGAGGACGCGCGCGCCGGCGAGGCCGCGCGGCTCCAGCGGGAGGCCGCGCGGCTCGCCGACGAGCGGCGGCGCGAGGCCGACGACGAGGAGGCGCGGCGCGGCGCGGCGATCAAGAAGGCCGCCGCGGCGCTCACGCAGCGCGAGGCGGACGTGCAGCGGCGGCAGGAGGAGCCGTTCCTCGGCGAGAAGGTGAGCGACGACGACGACGACGACGACGACGGCGCCATGTTCCACGAGCTCGTCGAGTCCATGGGCGACGACGACGACGGCGCGTCGCCGGCGCCGGCGCCGCGGCGCGCGCCGTCGGAGCCCCCCGCGCGGTCGCCGTCGGAGCCGAGCCAGCGCGGCTCGCTCACGCAGCAGAGCGAGACGTACGGCGACGACGACTTCGAGGACGACTTCGAGGCCTTCCGCGAGGACGAGGCGGCGTCGCTCTTCGCGTCCGTGGGGCTCGAGCTGCGCGAGGCGCGGCGGGAGGCGCTCCTGCTCGCGAACGGCAAGGACGCGGACGCGAACTTCGTGCCCCGCGCGGCCTTCGACGAGCTCATGCGGGGCTTCCCCAACGCGCGCGCGAGCCTCGAGAGCCGCGGCGGCGCGTCGAGCGCGGCGTCGGGCGACGTCGACGTCGCCTGGCTCCGGGGCGACTTCGCGTCGTCGCTCGAGAAGGACGCGGCGGCGCACGACTGGTACGACGCGGCCGCGGCCGCGTCGGGCCGCGAGGGCCTGAGCTCGGAGGATCTCTGGGCGGCGCTCGACGCCGACGTGAACCTCGCGACGCGCCGGGAGGAGACGCTCGACGTCGACGACCTGCGGCGGTCCGCGGGCTTCGCCGCGCGCCTCGCGCCGCGCCACGTGTCGCGCGACGACCTGTCCAGGTTCTGGCGGTCCCTGGGGTCCATCGACGGCGCCATCGACGGCGCGGGGCGGCTCACGGACCGCGACAAGTTCCTCGAGGGCGTCCGCGCGTCCGTCGAGTTTCGGCCCGAGACGGCGCCGCCGGAGATGGACCGGGGCTGGGACCTCGGCGACGACGACGACGACGAGCCGGAGGAGCCGGCGTCGCCGGACTCGCCCGCGTCGCCGGACTCGCCCGCGCCGCCCGCGCCCGCGCCGCCGCCGGCGCCGGAGGCCGTCACGCCCGCGCCCGCGCCCATCGAGATCCCCGCGTCGCCGCCCGCGCCCGCGCCGCCGCCCGCGCCCGCGCCGCCGCCG